CCCCAAAACCCCAAAACCCCAAAACCCCAAAACCCCTGCCTGCACAGGCAAGGTTGAACTTTGCTAATTTAGAGGCGTTTTCCTTCTAAATTCTTCCTTTCTTGATTACTTTTCAACTAGAAACCGAAAAATTTCAGAGTGAAAATTTTTAAACTAGCTTTGCTTCAATTCACTCAAAAGTTTGGCATTGAGCTGGAGTTCAGTGGATGTCATCTGGTTAACATTGTCCTTTCTCTCCTGAATCTGCTGGTCAAGGTCCTGAAGATTTCTCTTTCACATGTTCTTGTGCTTCTCTACTTTAGCCTTCTCCTCCTTTTGTTCGTTAGCATCTCTTGTTAGGATCTCCTTCATAAATACGTTATTCTTTTCTATTTCCAAATTTTTAAACTGCTTCTTCTCTCTTATCTGCCTAGCAAGGTAATCACGGAAGTCTTTTTGGTTACTTCTGAGCTTAATCAGGTCATTCTTCTCTCTGATCCTTTCAAGTTCTTCTTTATGAAGAATTGATTTGAGTAGTTTCATTTCTTCTTCTTTTTCTTTTAAATTTTGTTTGTCAACAACAGACTCTTTCATTTTATTGAGTCTTTTCTGCATGAGCTCTTGTTTCTTCTCAATTTCTCTCTTGCGTTTCTCCTCCTGTTCCTCTATTTATGTTAGAAAATTAGGTACCGAGGTGTTTTTGGTACTTTCTGATAGCTTCATTATCAGCTATTTTCTCCTTCTTCTTTTGCTCTAGCTTCACTAACTCGCTTTGCTGAATGGACCTAGATATTAGCAATGGGAGGTACTCAATAACTTTATTTGCAATCCTCCATTTCTTGTCTCCTTCTTTGGATATTCTGCTGCTTTTCATCTTCGATTTCTTGATGGAGTTTATTAAGCATTTCTTCTTCAACTCTCTTTTTCTCTTTAATTTCCATTTCCCTAGCTCTCATTTTTAGCATGATTTGCATATCTCTGTTGGCTTTCTCATTCATGACTCTTTGTCTAGTCTCAAGCCTAATGAGTTCATTTTCACGCTCGTCTCGTTCAGCTTTGAGGCGGATCTCATTTTGAAGCTTTTGTCTTTCCTTTTCAGCTATTTTTCTGTTCCGTTTTTGCTCTTCCATTTGGGCATTGAGCATCTCTTTCATATCAGTGATTTTATTCTATAGGATTAGAAAGAGCTGGAAGGGTGTTTACTTCTTTTTTCTTCCTTCTCTCTGCTGATCTGGCTCTTTTCTTTCCTGATGTTGTATTCGACTATTCTATCCCAGCTATCTAAAGATATGTAAGAAGGGAACTCACCTTCAGCATTGTAGTAGGTATGACGAGCATTCAGATTGGCCAATCTAAGGTTTAACGATAAGGGTACTTTGATGTATTCCTTCCACAGTCATAGCTATTATTCATAGAGCTGATTGCCTTGAGTTTATTATCCCCGTAGGCATTATCATCTTTCATGTTGAATCCCTTTCCTAGACGATTAGAGCCAAATTACTTGAAACTATTGTGCTCCTATCAGAAACTGTATTGCTAGACTTAAAATAACCGTATTTGTTATTTCTAGTTCTCTTGCTGAGATGAGACTTAGCATTTTGCGATTTCAGCTTATTTATGTCAGGAATTTTGCCAACATCCCTGTGTGAGAAATCCTTCTTAGGTAGCTGAGAGTTAGAATCCTTCAGTAAGGTTGCCATTTTCTGACCTTCTGGTGAATCTGGATTATTATTGTTTCTTAAGTTATCCAATTTTGATCTATTTTGTCGTAAATCGTCACAACTCTGTAAGAAATTTAGCTAAGAGGATACCTGGTTTCCTTTATAATATTTAAGCAGAGCTCTGTTTTTGATAACTGTTATCTGAGAATATCCAAGAGATTTTTCATCGTTAAAGTACGAATCAATTTCGTTCTCTATGATATTTCTAACTTTGGAATATTCTTGAGGTCCTAACGGCTTTCTAGAGAAATGTGTTATTTTCGGTATTCAAAAATTGGAAGAACAAAGTTGAATAAACTACAAGAAATGTCTAACTAAGCTTACTTTAATTGTTTCATATTGATTTTGTTAGTTTTGAAATCCTTAAAGGACTCTAAATTTCTTGCTCCTCCATTATGGTCACAAATAATGGACTTCATCATTTTCTCTGTGAGGAGATTTTTGATCCTGATTTGACGCTCCTTAATGACCCTGCCATCTTTAGCAGGATACCTTCCAGCTGATTTAGAGCCACCTTGTCTGAGCTTGAGCATATTCATCATTGGAATAATTTAATTTAAATCAGCTTTCCAAGTCGTTTGGGGTTTTGGGGTTTTGGGGTTTTGGGGTTTTGGGG